ATTAGAAAACCAACTGTGCTCAACTTATGAAGCAAAAAATCGATATGTCCCTTACAGGTCAGATGATTATAGAGCTGTATCCAGGCATTTCTAACAACTACGTGAATAAACTTTTTTGGGTCTGAAAGCATACACAATCCCAACACATGAATTGAGGTTCTCACGCTGGAGGTTATGAAGAGTTCTGTCTTCTGGAGTACAAATGCTGTGTATCCACTAAAATCAACCAACGTTCTGGAGGATGTCTCCTCCACCATCCCCACTGAAAAGTAAACAATGCAAGCAACCGGCACGAAGCTGGTGGGATGTTCCTCCAAAAGGTCAGTTACCTTCCACTGGACTGCATGGCATCACTCTCCAAATACATCTTAAAATTTACATGGAAACATGACTACTGGTACCATGGAGGCTGGCACTGTAGTTAACACTCAAGACAAGTATTCAGGAGCTCAGCCTGAATCTTAGCCAGGAACCCAGCTATCCTGGCTGAGGTTTTCTGTGGTTTTCCTCAGCCCCTCCAGGAAAACTCTGGAATACTACTGTGATTAACAATCACCATTCATTTCTAAATGATCATTCATCTATCATCGAGCCACTCGGTGATAGACAGACTAACCTATTCAGAGAAACATAAAATAACTATATACATACATATTGGCGTTATCTACATCCCTTGGCATTCTGGCCCTAGGAATTCATAAATAGCATGTGTTTTGTCTCATAAAGAACTCCCTCAAAAGTTAGGAATAAAGGAGGACATAGTAAGTTCAATATCTCACACTTATCAGAAGAGGTCAACAAATAATACCTAATCTTTTATATTTTACTTAAAGGCTTACTGTTGTCGGAAGAGTGATCACCACTTCTTTCCTGTCACGCATCCTGGAGTTATAGCAAGAAGCTAAGTATTACTGCACCCTTCTTAAAGCAGCAACACATGTTTCTGGATTTACAACACTCAAAGACTGAATTTGGGAGTAACAATACATTGCAGTGTTCAGCTCTGTTGCTCACTTTTGAATGACAGGCGTGGGGGGGGGGGGTTTCAGATGTCTGAGAAAGAAATGTATTGTGCCTGATAAGGCCATGAATCAGGGACTAGTTACATACCAAAATATGTGACATTTCATCAAAAGTGATCATTCTTATTCAAAAACGTTTATGGGAAAAATATGTACACTTCTTACTGCACTGTCTTCACCCGGAGTACTTAGAGGATATAGCAGCAAGGGTACATGACAACACAGATATCTTTCAACCTCAGACTTGGCTTATAAAAGCATTACTACACACAAACTCTATCTGCATAGCTTAACTGTCAACTTACAGTCACAAAAAAAAAATGGAATAAAGGGTATAATAAAGACCCATTCAAAATTAACAGCTTAAACATGAACAAAAGACAATTCAAAGTGGCATTAAAAGAATTCCTTTTGCCTCACACTTTCTAGTCTCTTGAGAAATTTATATAGCTAAAGAATAACAGTATGTATTCATGAGCTTAATTTTAAATCCTCATGCAGAGTTACGAGTATATGTTTTATAAATCTCTCTCTCTCTCTCTCTTGTCACATCCCTACTACTGATAGGTGACTCAATACCTTCAGCTGAGTGTTACTACCCCAGTTCCTTGTGAAACGAGTCCAGAAATGCTACACAAATGCATTTTAGCTGGATTATATGAGGTACTGAAAATCCTGTCCATGTTCATCCTAATACAGACAAGTAAATGCCATTGAAATGAGTCATGCTCCCACAAAAAGATATTCAGTTTGGTTTTACCTCTTCAAGAACAAGGGCTGCAATAGTGTGCACCACCATATTATCACTGTGCATACACACTGTGTGGCACCACATCAATGTGTATTTCTGCATGAATAGTACGTGCATTGTGTTCCACTAACCAGATTAGGGGAAAATTCTGCCATAACTTCCCAGTGCCAAAATTCCAAACCAAGGAGGCATTCATAAATATATCCATGATGTCAGGTCTACTGAATAAGTTCTGACTAAGGAACTCATTATTCTGTGTACTAACTGAAAGAAAGTGGATGAAAATGGGCTATGCTACAATATTCACCATGACCATCACTTTGTGAGTTGCTTTTCATAACAGATTGCTTTTCCACATTATCAGCATCAGCAACAAAAGCAATTACATGCCTTTATTTCTGGCCATACAAGACAAAATTTAAGAAACTACTCATGATAAATGTCTCTGTGTCAGCTTCAAGCTGTCTGATTATGTGCATCTGTAAGGGGAAAGCACTTTCATCACATCTCATACTCTAGGTAAACTGCTTTAATTGTTCAAAATGAATGATAGCAGACTCTCACAATGAGTGATACCAGACTCAGCATCAGGATAATGGTAGGTTGCCACTCACAAGTAGTCGATGACAGAAAGAGTAAACACATACTAGGATGCACTATAATCATTCTTCATGAGTACCTGTATGTTTTGTATGTTTGTACATGTGAAGCATGTTCCTGGAGAGTTACATGTTCTGAAATCAACTCAGCTATCCAAGATTCTTCAAACTTTTCTCTGGTCTTTTAACAAAAACAGGACATTCATTTACAGCATAGATGAATATAGGGAAGTATGCTTAGCCTTAATTTTTATGTGGCCATAAATTTTGGATTCCAGAATGCAGGAAAATAAAATTTTTGATGTTACCTAACAAAAACTGTAGTGACTGTAAGTCACTTACACTACCATCTCCAACAAATCAACATTCTTACTACCTAAACAAAGTGATGTTCTTGGCATGGCAGCGTGAACTTCTGCATTATGAGGTGGCCTGCTGTAAAGGCCACCAACAGACCAAATTACTTTTAATCCTCACTACAGCTCTTGACCTGAGCAATTAGGAGTCATTCATTCAGTCCTGTTATTTTCATATGAAACATATATAGCAATATAGCATTCATGTACAATGCTGGTGAACAATACTTTTGCAAAGCAGGAGAAGACTGGCATAAGTTCCACACAGAGTATTCATAGAACTGTAAATAAATTCGGATATACAGGGTTGTTGATGGCCAAATAAACTGAATCAAAACACTGACTGCCCAGTGAAGTGGATGAAGTCAGTGCTAAGCTTTTAACATACTCCTCTGAAATGCACTCAGGCCTTTGTACGGAGACTGGGATTTTAAAACCATCAGAACAAACTGCTACAAAACTCCAGCAACTGCAACCATTCACGAGAACAATAGTACTTGAATTGCAATATTATGACCCTGCTAGTAAGTAGTTTTATTTTAGCGGTATCCCTTGGTTCTGTTTATGGCAGCGAACTGAACTCTCTTCTGATTTTCCTTCTTCACAAGACTTGGATTCACTTACGCAGATCAATTTACAGAGCAACAGATACTGTAGCTCACAGGATCCATTACATGATACTAAAATTGACATACTGTGCAGTTAGTGTACAGACAGAAACACTGGACTGATTTTCCAGGGTGCAACTAATTCTGAAAGGTAGGTGCAGACCCTTCAGTCATTTCTTGAACAGCTAAAACATGAAGAACAGAGTATGCACTCTTCCAATAAGACTGCTACTGCTCAGAGAGCAAGGGTGTCCTTGGAAGCTTTTGAAGAAAAGAGTTTGAGGACACAATTATTCACAGTGCTAACACCCCCGTAATATTTAATTTAGGAAGAACCCTAAAACAAATGTTTACAGATCACCCAGATGAAAAACCTGAAGGAAAATATCCACAAAAAGAAAAGTTGCCTTTCTTTTCCCATGATAACTACAACACAATAATGCAAATATTTTACAGAACGGTTCCATATTCATGCAGAAAAACGGACAACTTCTGCTGTAATGTGGGTATGCAGGCTGTAGTCTGCTGGTTCTGCTAGTGGTAGAAATATCTTAGCAGGAGTGCCCAAGTCTTCTGCCTGCCTGAGAGTTTCAACAATTTGTGGCAATGCCACACAACAGTACCTGACCTCCATTATTATAACATTTACTACCTGCACATCAAATTACTGCAATAGTGCGTGTACAGAGTTCAGCTGGGTGAGCACTACATTCTTGCGGTGCTAATGCCCTTAACTCTTAATTAAAATCTGACTAGCAACCCAGCAATACCATGAGATTTAAAATCCCTATTCCATGACAACAAAAACAGCACTCATCANGGCCGCGACGGGGGGGGGGGGGGGGGGGGGGCCACATGTGCAGGAAATGTGGATGGGAGGAGAAATTCTCATACCACACACTTTGTGAAAGCAAATCTTCGCTATGCTAGAGGTCTTCAATTCTGCACTAAGAGCTCCACAACTAAGGGTGAGTGCTCTTTGCTGGGCCTTAACGAGACGAGAGAAACAAGTGAACCTGACAGTGGTCTAAGTGACTGAAGGAAGCAAGGCTGTCCCCATATATCTCTCCATACATATCTAAAGAAAAACAACGTGCCTACAGAGAGAACGGTAACCTCACAAATCTCACACCATGGGGATACACAACCCCTTTCCTTATGTTGGTTCAACATCATAACAGTGAAGTCACACTTGAAATGGACATTTTATTGCACAAGACTTAAAAGTAAATAATCTTGCAGTTTATGAATCCAGAATTTTTTGACAGAATATAAGTTTAAAAAATGAGCCAGGGTAACTCAGTCAGTGCAGTGACCAGGCTATGGGCTGGATAACACAGGAATTTTGATTCCCAACTATGCCAAGACATGTTCTCTTCTCTACATAGTCCAGACTTGCTCCAGGACCCACCCAGTGGGTTCCAGGAAATGTTTCAGCTGACCACTCACCTCCATCTCTTGTGAAAATCCTGAATGATGGAGCTACACCCCCACTCGCCCATACAGCTTAACGATTTACAAGTTTCAAAATGAAATATACCTGACATTAAATGTAATAAACACACACAATGGACCCCTGTGTTTAAACAGAAATATATGGAAAAATGTCTTTTCTCTAATATACAACTTTCAAACATTAACCATGCATGACATAGGGTACTCACCGTAAGCACACACGCGTGACTAGGAGAGATGAAGTCCAAACCACGACTTCCCATGCCACTGAAACATGTCTTAACATTCTGCATGAACTTGCGCCGGATCGCCTTCAGAGAATACACACAGAGTGCACTGTTTGAGCTAGGTTTGCTGGACACCTCACCCTCTGACTGGTCACTCTCAGAAAACACAGCAAACAAAACATCGTCCTGGGCCGTGATGCCCAGATCAGCAGCCAGATCTGATCCTGGTTTTCCAACATAGGCTGCTTGTACAAGATTATACCTCTTAGCACCTTCACTGATACAGTCAATTGGGATTTCTGTGTACGAGTAATAGTTCTCATCATCGTGACAAACGCGCACTAGTTTGGAGATGAATGGTGATGGTATGGTGTGTCTCATCTGAGTGGTGAGAAAGTAACTGAACCCTTCAGAACTAAAACCGTGCACATAATTGATGGGGTAACGTTCCCTCGCCAAAGAATTGACAAACATACGAGTTCCTGTCGTCACAGCCGTCTCAGCAATGATGAACATCTTTTCACGATCGAGGCTCCTTGATGACACGGCTGGCACCTCTGACCTGTACGGAGAGTTGCCAGTGTAAGTAACGCCAACATACATCACTTGTGTCACTGGGGGGTTTGGAGGCCCAGGAGCAATGAATGCTACCGTAGAAGCCGTGGAATTGTTGGCAACCACGGCTTCTCTGACAACTTGAGCGGCATCAGAGATGTTGTGCAGATTCCTCACTGAGCAGATGCCTTGGAATATACTCCCACAAGATATTAGCCTTGTAGTTGTGTAGTCAATCACAAGTGCCTTGTTCACATTGTCAGTCGGTTTCTTTAGAACAGTAGGCGGGCAGTCCAATGTTGAGCATTCTGGAGAATCATCATGGGGTCCAGTCACCTCACTCATGACAAGTGCCAAGTCTGGAGACAACTGATACAAACGATTCACCGCTCCTATAAATACCAGCCCCGTGTTTTTGTCCACCACCAGATGATTGAAGCGTTCGGTGCCAATCTCATCGCTGAAAGTTCGGACTATGCTGGCGGTTACTTGTATCACCACCACCTGCCAGAGGCTCAGTGTTAGCACCAGAAGCATCATTCCTTGCATCCTGCCTCTTCAGTGTCACGTCATAGGGAGCCCCTGTAACACAGCCCTATGCTTTGTAACACACATCACACTACCAACTATTTTACATATACACATATTGTAAAATTAAGGGTAACATATTTTTCTAATATTAAAATAAGACTAAACCCCCATAAAATAACAGCAGGTATCAATACAAACGTTTTCCATTAAAGACTTTCAGAATTGTATACTAATTAGTAACATGACTGAAAGGTGAACAGACTACAAGATGCCATTTGGTCACATTCTTTATATGCAATTAATTGTACATGATACAATAATCCACTCATAAATTTCTGCAACAGTAATGTATACCTTATTATCATGAACCTAAGCAAGGTATTTGTAAACATAACCCCTACAAGAACACTTCCAAGCTATTCTGACACCATTATTACATCACTGAAATATGCCACATTTATATAGATTTGGGGGAATATTTCACAAAATTCAGATTCTATACCTGACTGTGTGTATTACATTAACGGTAGGTGTCCTCACTTAAATCATGGTAGACCAGTTACTAGTTCAGATAATTGTTAACATAATGTAATGCATTCATCTACAGTAGCAAATATTTTCACCTTGCTACTCAGCCCCTCCACAAAAGTCACTGTGCAACATATTTCTGTGCAACACTGATGATACTGCTACATAACAATAACCTCAATTCCACTTACTATCCATCAGTTCTGCTGCATCTGTCACATATTTTTGCATTACCTCCTTAGATTTATGTTATACATACATGTACACTACCTGGAGCCACATTTCTTCNCAGAGATGTGGGTGGGAAATTTAAACTGTAAACTGGTTTAGGAAACTCGCTGTGGGCCATGACTGATTATCGACAGCAATTTCTAATTGTGCATTGTTTTGGTGTACGATTAATTTTTAAAAGCGAACTACCAGAAAATGGCTGTTGACGCTTAGTGAACGGGAATGTCGTTCGTCCACAGCAACAGCTTTCTTATCTATCCATGTGACATATACGTTTTGTGTAAATATTCTCCCCCGAGTTCAGGGCCATTCACCATTATCTCAGGTACCACAATCATGGACAGACATTAAATACATCAATGAACACTTACGCAAACAGTCATGGCCGAAAATAATACGGTTCTAAGTCTGGGTTTTTATGTTTCGGCAACGTCAGCAAATCTCACACCTTCCGACCAGCCTCACTTCCCAGCAAAAGCACGAAGAAGGAACAAGATGGAGAACTCTCACCATATTACCTGTACCCCATCCTGAGCACTTCTATACACCAACATACGTACCTACAGGTATTGCTGGCAGCCAGCAGGTAAATAACAGCAATTTCTTGTGACAAACACATACACTTGCTTGACACAATCACCTCTGATTATCGATAAGGGGGGGGGAGCGAACAGCTTCTTGAAACTAATCTAGTTCTTCAAGAAATTTTCAGTCACTGTTAACTTCACGGCGTAAATTTGTTCCTTCATTTGCATGTACACACACATACGGGCACATAACATAAAACATTCACAGATGTGCAAAGAAGCCGACGCCGCGCGTGGGCCTCTTCTAGCTTTGCTATGTCGTGGCTCGCTTTGGGCAGGGCGCGCCAGCCACCACGGAGGACTGATAATAGACAATTAAACCCCAAAACAAAGTACCCTGTGTTTTAGAAAACCACGTCACGTCTATTAACCACCATTACTCGACAGTACAAGTGCATCCTGTCACTGATTTAGAAAACGCTATCAAATATTTCGCGATTAACAAATGGTTTGTCGAAACACAAAAATTTCCACGGTTTGTCGCGACTCTAGTCTTACATACACACGTCACGAAAATAAGCAAATGCTAATAGTTATGAAACAGAAAACAGACACTAATAAGCAGACAGTCACCATAACACCATTCCACTCAGCTCGAACTTCACTGAATGACAAAGCCAGCTCTACTGAACGAACAGTTCGTGAAAATGCGGCGCATGCGTTCAGCGAGGCCTGGAATGCTGCCTTCTGGAGGATAGATATGTCTACAGTAATTTCAAAAACATCAGACACACTTTATTTCGAACGGCAGAATTTCCAAACATAGTATTTGAATGTTGAATAACAGTGACCCAATGATCAAAAGCAGGGGCATGTAGAATAGGCGTTTTGTTAATTAACGTGACCCGTAAATAACTGAGAGATAAAGCCAAATGGTGGCTCTTCAAAACTGTAGAAAACTAAAAAAAATAGCACTTTTTAACAATTTCACTTGTGGGAATAGCCCAATACTGATACCGAAGAAAAATTAGATTTCATTGAGTATATGATGTATTTAAATGTGATTCGGGTTTATAGCAGTTTAATGTAGGCCAAACTGTGGAATTCGTTAACGATTAACAAGATTATAAAAATGATTTCTAAGGGTTTCTCTGAAATTTTTGTTATTATCTTGTAGGGCAAAACTGTATGTAACATTAGCCATGACTTTTAATAGATATTTTCTAATCTATGATAATCTGACCGATCTTCCTATACAAACCTTGTCTTTCCACATGCCCGAAATTCTATAGCGAATTTAAAATTGCAACCATACAACAACTGAACGCGCATGAAACATAAATTTCGGAACGACCAAAAAAACTAGAAAACTGACGTGGGATTGTTATGGTGAAGGAGCTCCTGTATGTATGAATGAATGTATAAGGTAGTGGGCCTTGTCGGCCCTTGCACCGCGACCTGCAGTGGGTCTATTGTGCTTTAGGTGCCCCTGTGCTCTTAGTAACGAAGTAATATAGGTTATATAGGTTATATAGTAATATAGGTGTGTCTTTGTGCAATGTAACTGTCGGATCTAGAAGAAGGTATGTTTCACTTTCGTGCACCAACATGTTAGGCACTAAAAATGTTTTTGTTATGACGATGAACACAAGACAACACGAGTTCAAGAAAATGAGGGAGGGGATGTGAAGGAGCAAGCGAGGCGAGGAGATGCTAATGTTGGCAGACGTATGGACGGTTCTGTACAGCCCACATGGCGCACATATAAGCATATTTGTGCCCAAACACTGAGTTTTTATAGCTAGTCTATTCGTATGTGACTTTAGAGACAGTAAAATGTCTTCGTTTTACATTTTGATTTTCCGCCAGAACTGGATTAAGACTCAAAATTGTAAGGATTCTTCCCAGGCTGTGTGAAATTAATTCAGACGCGCCATATGTTTGGTGCGTAGTGAGGTAACATCACAAGGGATCTCGCATGCATAATTCGAGAAAGTTGTGACTGTAGCACCGAGGGGCACTTAAAATAAGCCAAATGATTTGGACCGAATGACACCAAATGTACAGCGTAATAATTAACCAATATATCATCAGGCAGTTGGACCGATTATGTGAGAAATGAAGAAGTGTTAGTTAGAGTCAGTGAGCAGAGGAATATCCTACACGAAATAAGAAAACGGAAGGCTAATTGGATTGGTCATATCTTACGCGGTAACTGCCTTCTAAAAGAAGTTATTGAAGGAAAGATAGAGGGGCGGATAGAAGTAACCAGAAGACGAGGAAGAAGACGTAAGAAGATGCTGGATGACCTTGGGGACAGAAGAGGATATTTTCATTTAAAGGAGAGAGCTCTAGATCGCATCAAGTGGAGGAACTGTTTTGGAAGAGACTGTGGACCTGTCGTCTTGACAGATTACAGATGAATGAATGAATGAATGAATATCATCAGGGCCCAAATCAATTTTGTCTCTTCACGTCTTTCCTACTTTCTCGCTCCCGTTCTCTACCTCTCTTTACATTTCCTTCCTAGACAATGACGCAAATTATGGTGTTTTTTGTACTTTTGCGCTGTTCGGTGTACGCTAAACTTGCACACACTGCTCATGAGACACGATCCGAGACGGACAGCTGCACTGAGCTAAATGTTGCGGAGCAATTGCAACGATGCTGGAAACAGCAACGCGGGAGGTAGCGGGTTCGAAAACCAACGCGGCCTGTTTACACTGCCTCAGAGGTTTTGCAGTTTTCTTCATTCCTTTCAAGTGACCCCCGAGGGTGGAAATATCAGTAATACACGTAAGTCTTCCTTCCCTGTTCCCTCATTTAAGGAATCCAATTCGACACTGAGCCTAGTCACTATTGAATCATTAAATAACTAAACAAATACGGATGTCTTATGAATGTCTTCTCGACTGTTCCCTTTCACTGTCATGCATTCCATTATCTTCGTCATTCATGCATTCCTAGGGTACATATTTTCGGGTTGTATTAAGGTCAAAATGGCAGTCACGGTAGCCGAGCGATCTAAGGCATGTACTGTCTTCGCTCGCTCGGAAGCCGGGATCGTGGGTTCGAATCCCACTCAGGGCATGGATGTTTGTGTGCGTTTTTCTGTGTTTGTGTACAGGTAGAGGCCTTGCGACGAGCTGATCATCCGCCCAAGGAGTCCTACCGAATGTGTATGATCTAGAAAAACCGAAGTGAACGGAGAAGTTCATGGAGGTAGGCCTAGGCCCACTGGGGCTGTAGTGCTAAAGGTAGCCGAGGGGTCTAAGGCATGTACTGTCTTCGCTCGCTCGGAAGCCGGGATCGTGGGTTCGAATCCCACTCAGGGCATGGATGTTTGTGTGCGTTTTTCTGTGTTTGTGTACAGGTAGAGGCCTTGCGACGAGCTGATCATCCGCCCAAGGAGTCCTACCGAATGTGTATGATCTAGAAAAACCGAAGTGAACGGAGAAGTTCATGGAGGTAGGCCTAGGCCCACTGGGGCTGTAGTGCCAAAGGTAAAAAAAAAAAATTAAGGTCACAATTCTGTGGATGTTTTGCATGGATGTATAATACAGTTCTGTTCATATTTTTTGTAATGGTCTGTCGTAATATTTCAACAAGAAGATTCGAGTTGAAAGTAGGGAGAGCATTTTTAAGATATTGCACACGTTGCATTCACAATAATTATGCAAAAGGGAAATTTATTGTTTTGTTAATTCGGCCATTGCTGTGGGTTTTACTTGAAGAGACCTTTTTGTGCACACAGTGTTCTAGAAGTCATTTATACGTGTAGGGTTATTACAAAAGGATTGAACACTTTAAAAATCAATTGTGAGTAAACCAAACGTGACACTGTAATCAACGATACGTTATTTGAAGCAGTAGCTCAAACATTTTTTTATCGGTCAGTAAATGTTCAATGTGCCGCACGATACCCCTGACCACATTCAAACGCCGACATGTAAGGTATGGATCCAACGGCTTGGTGTATCCTGTCTCTTCGAGCTCCTGCAGACTGTTTAGCGGCGGAGGGATACAAACGTGATCTTTAAAGCAGCCAAATAAGATCTGGCTGCCTTTTCTGCACAAACCACATTAAGACGCTGCTCGTTTTCCACTTAACTCGCTGTTCTGATTCTTGAAACCAGTGGTGACTTTAGAAATACTTCATGCATTCATGTGTCGATAGAAGAAACGCGAAACGTTGCTTTTTGTGTTTCGGTCAGTTTACCTACAATATATTTTTGGATGAATTCAATTCTCCTGTAATGACACTGCATGGAGCTGATCTAGCCGGCTTTACCCAGGCGTATTGAGCGCGTATATTTAGCAAGTGCAGTACATACGAACTGAACATACGAAATAAAAATTGCTGTTCATTTTTCTAAATTTTAAATGTCTCAGAAATTACACGGTAACAGGCTTATAGTGTAACCATGGCCCTTTAATTTTGTTTTCTAAACTCTATCAAACTGTGGAAGGGGGGGAGAACCCTTAATATCTAGGATGAATGGTTCTCGAGCAACAAGTAAAAACTGTCCATTCAAGTAAGATTTGAAGTTTTCACGGCAGTGGCTATGGAGAATGCCTTCTTCTGGGATGTGCCACCGTGTAGATCTTGTGTGAACCGACATTTTGGAGGAACGTACAACCTCCATCTTCAGGGTATAAAAATCCGCCAGCAAGTGCAACCACCTGCTCACGTTGGTTCCTCGCTCGCGGATTTTTCTTCCTGAAGATGGAGGCGATACGTTCCTCCGAAATGTCTGTTCACACAAGATCTACACGGCGGCACATCACAGAAGACGGTATTCTTCATGTACTTTCAAGGTTTACGAATTAAGCACAAATAAACAGATGCGCGTTCTTCTTTACATATAGAGAGATTACATGTTCCTGTGTCTTGATATCGGACAGGGCATCTTCCTGTAATCTTCATATGAAATGCGGGATGTCCCATGCAAGTTCTTTATTGAAGGTCCAGGCAAACTTACCAGTTTGTCACGGCAATTATTCACCAGATCAAGAAGTAACCGTTAGGATTAAGCCGTGTGGTCTAGGAAATGCATGGACTGGTCGGATCATATACAGATATTGCAAGCTCGTGTTCCATTCGGGACAAGGATGTATATTCTCTTTGTTCTGCCTTGTGTTCTCCACGTTTACGCTGTCCTTTATCATTTATCTGCTTATATGTATTGTAGTACTGTTACTATATTGCACCAATTTTCTTAAAATTAAAATACAAATAAAGCTTAAATCTATGGGACAGAGTTTAGAATAATTCACTGATATTGAAAAACGGTTTCTTTCTTACATCCTAAAATTGGATTCTCTACGGTCCACAGGCCAGTACAGCACGTGCTCCCTTAACTTGTCACGGACTTGCTATGCGATTGGCAGGTAATTTTTGCTATAGCAACCTCCAGCCTTCCAGTTCTGTTTATGTCTTCTGATACATGAACACAAAGCAGGAGGTGACCGGCAATTTTAGAACATTTCGTTCCAGTGCTCTGAAGCATACTTCAGCCTCTTACGGCAACTTGTCACCCAGCATGGTTTCTCGGTTACTTTAGGGCGCCATGCTAACCGTAAGAATTACGTATCTGCAGCATTATGGCCCAATAAATGAATGATAATGACTCATATATACACAGCTGATAATGCTTCAGACCAAGTGCTTTCTC